AATTATTTTCCTCAAGTGACATCTAACACGTTCATCTGGTGTGAAAATACCTTAAATACAGCCTCAGACTGAGCTGAATCAGCCTCTATAGGAAGCCTCAAGTAACAGCCCAAAGCCAGGGCTTAGAAGAGAGGAGGATCGGGATACCCATTGTCTCTGGACATTTTGAACTCATGGTTGCTTTTCCCAACACAGGAACTTTCTTGTTCCTCAGTCCCGTCTCAACAGGGCCTCTGGGGAGCTCAGAGATGGGTCTGCCATGCAGGGCCGTCTACCTAAAAGGCCCGCGCAGCCCAAGCAGGATGGGTTCTTCAAACATGAAGGCAGAGACCTGGGCAAATGGCTGTGTTCCCTTCTCATCTGAGGCCGTTCTGTTCGAAGAAAACAAGTCTTCGTTTGAGAAACTAATAGAGATGTTGGCTTTATGTGGTATTTTCCCTTCAATTTATTTTTCTTTTGTTCAATCACCTAGACCAGTGGTTGGCAAACTGTGGCTCACTAGCCACATGCGACTCTTTGGCCCCTTGAGTGTGGCTCTTCCACAAAATACCACATGCGGGCGCGCATGTACAGTGCGGTTGAAACTTCGTGGCCCATGCGCAGATGTCGGTATTTTGTGGAAGAGCCACACTCAAGGGGCCAACGAGCCACATGTGCTCGTGAGCCGCAGTTTGCCAACCACTGACCTAGACCAAATATGATCTTTAAAAAAATTATCAGTATTCACATTTTACAGCATTTCCCTTCCTTGATACTTACACATATAAACTTTCTCTTATGGAAAATTTCAAACATATACAAAAGTAGAGAGATACAGTAACAAATCCAATGTATTCATTGCTCATCTTCAATAATTTTCAAAGCATGGCTGATTTTATTTCATCTATATACTACCCCCTTCCCCCAAGATTCTTTTGAAGCAAATTCCAAACATCATTTTATCTCTCTAGTATTTTCAGCATAGAATAATTATTTTACAGAACTTTTAAAATTAGAAATCTATAATTACAGTAATTCCTTGCATGTTTACTCTGTGCTGGGGATTTTATCTGCATACCTCTTACTACGGTAATCCTGAGGAGTAGGTCATCATCATTGTTTAGAGATGAAGACACTGAGACTCAAAGAAATAGTCACTTGCCCAGAGTTGCATGGCTAGAAGTAGAAAAGCCAGATGTCATTCTAGCTTGATCTCTTTAGTCACGCCTAACCTTGCCCTAGTCAGATGCTGCTTGCCAAATTATCTTCATGCTGGTGGCCTAGGGGACGTGATGGCCAAACTATGGGGTTGGGGTCCGACTTTGAAAGCATTACTACTATTAGAGAATGAGTGGAAGATAAAGACTATCTTGTCTTCTAATCTGAGAAAGAATTGCTGTGTAAAGACAGCCCAAATGTGGATTCTACGAATTCCAGCTTGGAATGAATTTGTTTATAGAACCCTGGAGGTCAGAAGCTCTTGAGAGGTCATTGGGTTCAGTCCCCTTTCTTAGGCATCCTGGAGACATGGGCACCTGTCATTATTAAAGGTCTGGATAAGGAATCCATCAGAATGCTTAAATCGGGAAGTTACCAACTTCTAGAAAAATGCAGACTTTTTTCACTGAATACTTCTGTCACACATACCTCCTCTTCCTCTTGTTAACAAAGACTTTGTCCCCCAATTACTTCTGAGAAGGTAGCCTCTTTTATTCTACCAAAATATCTCTGTAGCTAATCTCAATTCCTTACAGTTTCCAAGGAAAAGATGTTCTTTTCAAGGGTCACTGTTCCGCTGTAGAGTCTATTTCCTGGCTGTCATAAGGAGTACTTGTTTATCTGGAGTGGTGGGGGTGCACCGGTGTGGCCAGACACTCCTTCAAGGAGGCAGAAAGTGCTTTGGGCATTGAGAGGAAGGGAGGATTCCTATGCGCTGATGTGGTGATCCCTGCACTTACTCATGAAGTACTTACTGAATGCCCGCATTGTGTCAGGGGCTGTGCCAGACTCTGCAGTTACAGCAGCATGTAAGGCACATGTGGTCCTGTCTGTGAAGAACTTATGGCTGAATAGGGAAGATAGATGATCAAACGGAAGATCACAAATGTGACCAATGTTCATGACCAAGGAAACAAAGGGTTCAATGGGAGTTGATAAAAGACAGTTCTAACCTGGCTTAGGGATCATGGAAGGCCTCTCCATCCGGGGAAGGTATGTTGTTTAAATTGAGACCTGTCCAGTCCAGGTGAACAACCTGGGCAAAGCCCTTGAGGGCAGAGAGGGAGCGTGTAGAGAGGGGTCTGTACAGGCTGAGTTAGAGTGGGAACTGAAGAGCACCAGATGGATTCTGGAGATACTTGGGAGGTAACATTGACAGGACGTGGTGATGGATTGTCTGTGATGGGGATGAAAGAGAGGGCAGACTTTCTTAAAGTATCTGGCCCTAAACAGGAGGAAGAAGGAGGATTTAGATAAGTAAGGATCAGTGTGCACGTGTATGAGGGTGGTTCACAGCTGAGGGAAGTGTGACCAGTCTTGGTGGGGTCAGAGAGTGAGAAAATTTGAGGTGTAGTGGAGGTTTGGGAAGAGGAGTATGGAGATAAGGTTGGAGACGAAGGCTGCAGCCCATTCTAAATGGTTTCCTCCTGAAACACACTCAGATTTACTTCCTGGTGGAGCTCTGGAGGGCGAGTGAGGCATGAAACCATTTTTAAAAAGTGCCAACGAATAAGATGACTGTTACAATCTTTTACACGGGAGCTTGATTTTGTTGGGTAGTGTGTTATGTAGGGAGGAAGGAAAGGTGAGGGTCATTGATGTCCTTCACACATCAGCTCTCGGATTATGTTGAGTGGAAAAGGAAAATTGGCTCTTTTCTTTTTCTTCTTCAAAGAGAAGAAGGCCACATTGACTCCACTTGCAAAGCCTTCATCCTGGTTTCTTGGTGGGAATCCTTCTAGAGCTGTGGTTTTCAAAGTGTGGTCTCTGAACCAGAACTTGTTACACCGACAGGCAAATTCTTGAGCCCACCCCGGACTTCCTGAATCAGACACTCTGGAGTAGGACCCTGGAACATGAGTTTTAACAAGACTTCAGGTGATTCTGATTCAGGTTTTCATCCCTCCTGAATTAGTCCCAGATTCTTTCATTCATCCTTAAGTCTCCCCCACACACCCCTCATTCTCTGAGCAGCAGTGATAATCTTAGAGGGCTTTGAATCAGACAAATAGTTTCTTTTCCTATGGGAAGAAAAAAAGGTTTCCATTGTGACTCCCTTTAGAGTATTGCTGATGTGAACAGATAACACATCTCCCCCACTGTTGGCAGGTGGAGCTCACCTGGGCTGCAGATGCATGCCCACTAAAAGATGCTTTTTTAAAAATATATTTTATTGATTTTTTTACAGAGAGGAAGGGAGAGAGATAGAGAGTTAGAAACATCAATGAGAAAGAAACATCGATCAGCTGCCTCCTGCACATCTCGTACTGGGGGTGTGCCCGCAACCCAGGGACATTGCAAGCCAGGTACAGGCCCTTGACCGGAATCGAACCTGGGACCTTTCAGTCCGCAGGCTGACGCTCTATCCACTGAGCCAAACCGGTTTCGGCAAAAGATGCTTTTTCATCTTGCATATTAGAAGCATGGAGAAGAGAAATGTGAAAGCCATGATTTGGTGGATCCAGAGGACATAAGGTCTGAGTATTCTAGTTACTGTGTCAGTAATGCATAATTAGTCAGGATAGGAGGGTCTGCTACGGTAACAATATGAAACAAAATCTCAGTGACTTAAAAGAATTAAGGTTTATTCTCACTTTTACTGAGAAAGAAACCTGAATTGTCACCTACTGAGAGAGGCTCCATCTCTGTGCTTAATGATCACCAAAGGGAACTTTAGTGACTTGTGCACTGGCTCTTTCACTCACATTTCATTGGCTAAAGCAAGTCACATGACCACTCCTAACTTCAAAGGGGCAGGGAAGTGCATTTCTACCATGCACCTGGGAGGAAATATTTGTTGGTCAGCACTAATAACTACACTTAATGCACAGTCAAGATTTATTAAGGGAAGTTGGACCTTTCAAATCTGTCACTGACAAACTTCTTTTGCTGCATGACTCAAGTGTTTACTACATAACTAGAGCAGTGGTTCTCAACCTTCTGGCCCTTTAAATACAGTTCCTCATGTTGTGACCCAACCATAAAATTATTTTCGTTGCTACTTCATAACTGTAATGTTGCTACTGTTATGAATCGTCATGTAAATATCTGATATGCAGGATGGTCTTACGAGACCCCTGTGAAAGGGTCATTCGACCGCCAAAGGGGTCGCGACTCACAGCGTGAGAACCGCTGGACTGGAGTGTTTTTCTGTTATGCTACTGAGTTCATTGTCAGAACCAAATTCATTGTCACTCAGTGGGTCCTCCAGCCTTGTTCCCAGGGGACACCCCTGCACACCCAAACTGACAGGCACGTGGAAATCTCTGTTGGAGGAGCTAATATAAGCCCAGGCCGCATTAGGAAAAGTACAAGTATAGAGAAAGGGGAGAGTAGTTCTGGTGTATCGTGGTGTGTGTAGACTACTTCATTTGTTCATTTCAAGTTATGGAGCTCCAAGGATATGCCAAGCCATAAACACTGTGCTCTAGGTAATAAATTTCAAGAGGATGCTGAGCAATTGAGGTTCCCTTGAGGAGGGGGACCATTATGGTGAGTGGCCTAGAAATCCTGGCCCTAGCGTGTTTAGCCTGTAGGAGAG